GGGCTTGAACTCAAGTCCTGGGCACTGTCCTTGAGCTTTTTTGCTCGAGGGTAACATTCTACCATTTGAACCATAGCTCCACTTCTGGCTTTTTGTGGTTAATTGAAGAGTCTCATGGATATTCCTATCTGGGCTGGCTTTGAACCTCAATCCTCAGATCTCAGCCCCTGACTAGCTAGGATTACAGGCATGAGCTACTTAGACATTGTTTTTTGTTTGTTTGTTTGTTTTTTGGTCAGTTGTGGAGCTTGAACTCTGGGCTTGGGCACTGTCCCTTAGCCCTTCAGCTCAAGGCGAGCACTCTACCACTTGAGCCACAGTGCCACTTCCAGTTTTCTGGTGGTTTATTGGAGATAAGAGTCTCATAGGTATTCCTTCCTGGGCTGACTTTGAACCAGGATCCTCAGATCTCAGCCTCCTGAGTAGCTAGGATTACAAGTGAGCTACCGGTGCACGGCTCACTAGACATTCTTTATACATGTTTTCTTGGCAGAACGAAAGGGAGTGTCTCTGATCAAATTTCCTTTTCACTCAGTCATTTGGTCCATTCAAAAGTCATTATATGTTGACAGACATTCCAAACACCTATTTATTTGTATCAAGAGCTGGATGTTTGTGTTTGATGTTAGAACTGGAAAAAACTTGCTCCCCAAATCTAGAGTGAAGCATTGAGCCATGACCTCTGCCTTTGGAGTGCTTCAGTTTAGTTAAGAGGTTTAGAATACTTATACCTATGAAGCAACTAACCAGTTAGTTAGAATGCTTTAGGTACAGTTGTCTTGGGGGGTGAGAATGTCCTTGGAGACCAAACCCAGGGCCTGAGGGGTGTGTGAGGAATGTGCTGTGCTCTCCTTCTCCTTGGTATTCAGGTATCCAGAGTGTCCTTAGTATTTTTCTCTAACTTGTAAAGAAGAGATGTTTATTCCAGCTTAAGAACTTCAAAGGAGGAAGGCAGGTATATGGAAGGGAGGATAAAGACTGGTCCATGCTAATGTTGTCTTTTCCTGGTGCTCTCCAGGAGCTTCGTGCAGACAGAACCGGAGGTGCTACCCACTCCCTGTAGGCCCCGGGTAGGCTGAGGAGCTGGGGGCTGAGTTCTCACTCCTGCCTCCGCCCCTGGAGCTTTAGGAACAAGTTCTGTGGATGCCTGGGCAGTGGAGTGAACACTCTTGGTGCTATGTAACACTGTGCCCTGAACAAGGACCGCTATGATGAAGCCCTTTCTTAGTTCCCAGATGGGTGGTTCCCAGCTTGTTCTCCTAAAACTAGTGATCAGGGGAAGCTGTGAGGCAGAGGCTTCTAAAATAGACAAAGTATAACCGTCCTAAGAGCGTATCTCTCTTCTTTCCACTCCACGTGTGAGTGCCATGGGTCAGATCACCCATTCCCGCATCCAGCCTCCACAATCCCAGTGTTTGAGATCCTAGAGGTACAGCTCCTATCAAGACTTTCATCTTTGTCATTCTGTTACCACACTGTTGCTCACATCAGCATGTGAGACTCACCTGTCCTGTTCCACGAACTTGGCGTGATGTCCCATCCAAGATGTCAGGCCTCCCTCACCCTCCCATGCCAAATACAGGACCATCCCTAATAGATTTACCCACTGTGTGCTTGTCCTCACAGCTCCTCCACAGACCAGTCTTTTCCCCTTTTCCCCCTGGAATAGAGAATGCTTCTTTTCTATAGACTGTGGATTTTGAAGGCAGGTCTTGGGATTTGCTTCTCAGGGCTGCTTCATAGCTATGATTCCCTGCCCTCCCCTCCCCCCTACCCCCCACACTAGAATACTCTTTTCTAATGAACATTTATGCCATCTAGTGATTTGGTGCTTCAGCATCTTCATTTAGTGACCATCTGGTCATCTTTCTGTATTACCAGTGTTTTCTGCTCTACCTTGAGTTTTACCTGCTTTGTTTGTTTGCTTGGTCTTGAACTCAGGGTCTGAACTTTCATGCTTGAGGCTAGTGCTCTACCAATTGAGCCACAGCTTCACTGCAGACTGGTTTTTTTTGTTGTTGTTGTTAATTGGAGATTAGAGTCTCATGGACTTTCCTGCCCAGGCTGGCTTTGAACTGCAATCCTCAGATCTCAGCTTCTTGAGTTGATAGGGTTATAGGTATGAGCCACCAGCACCCATCCAAGTTTTGCCTCTCGAACAGCTATTTGGACTACCTGTCCAGCCCTGGCCAAGTTTTCCTGTTCCTTCTGCTAAGGTCCCACCTCTTCTGTTCAGTGCTGAAGACCAACTCAACTCCTGTCCTTGGAACAGTCTTAGTTGCTCATTCTTTTATTCCCTGCATTTGTTCTAACTCTTGGTGCCTCTGTGTTTTCCAGGTGGGTCTATCCTCCTCCAACCTCAGCCAGTGCCTGAGAGCCCTGGGGTCTCTCTATCCTTCCTCCACTTCTGCTTGGGAGTGTCCCAATCTGAGATATCAGCAGACATCCCTTTCTCTACCCCTGCACTGTGTCTTTCAGAGAAAACAATCATGACCTTGTTTGCTTGGTTTGATAAATCTATATCAAGGGTTCAACTTCACATGAAACAGCTTAATAAGGAGAACAAATGAGAACAGCAGCCCTTTGCACCCACATTTGAAAGTCACCATCCCTAGCATCCTTCATTCACTGCCCAGTGAAGGAAAGGCAAACTAGAATTACTACGACAGATCTTAGCTGTCTCAGACAAAAACCGGTTATTGCTATCTTAGACAAAAAATGGGGGCAGATTGATTGGAGGGATTATGAGAAGAAAAGAGATAACAGATGTCCAGAAATAAATCCCTCACTGTAAGTGTGATTGGTAAGCTCACAGATCTGTGGCATGTGGGAAGAGCAGTCCCAGCTTCCACCTTGTCATCTGATCTGACACCTGGAATCATCTCAGAACAGATTGTATGTTATAATTAAAAAACAGAAAACATTCTGTGTGGATCTGCTGGGCCATACTGCCTGTCCTGTCACAATTGGAGTTTCTGTCACAGTTGATTCAAACACACTACAAATAATTACTTTTGACTTCTTTTTTAAGGCAGCATAAGTGGCTGAGTTCTACATGCAGTGTAGGAAATATGGATTCCGTGTGGATAATGTTAACAATTCTTAGCCAACTCTCATTTCTCAGCCAACCCTCATGGCTTGTTATCATTTTATGGTTTTCGTATTTCATTTTCTGCCCTTGATAGAAGCACAGGGAAATTGAACCACCACTGTGTGTGTGTGTGTGTGTGTGTGTGTGTGTGTGTGTGTGTGTGCGTGCGTGCTGGCACTGGTACTGGGGCTGGAACTCAGGGCCTCACAGAGCTTTTTCTCTCAAAGCTTGTTCTCTACTGGAGCCATACCTGTACTTCTGGGATTCACTAGGGAATTAGAGTGTCTTGAATTTGTCTGTCCTGGCTAGCTTCAAACCTTACTCCTCAAATCTCAGCCTCCTGAGTAGCTAGAATTACAGGTGTGAGCTACCAGTGCCTGGCAAAATTAAACTACTCTTACTTCAACTGCTTAAGTTCTGTCTGGGTATGGTGGACCAGAACATACAAAGTCTCACTTTATTCATGCACATTCTCATTAGTTACTCTCTGAATGGTAATGTTGCTTTCCTTTCTGTCCTTTGTTTCTGTTTTTGAGGCTAGGGATTGAACCTAGGACCCTGCACATACCAACTACCTGCTGTACCACTGAGCGATACCCCAGATTCTTTCCTTATTTTAAGACAAAGAGAAATTAAAAAAAAACTGTAGAAGAAATTTCATGCCTAGATTGAAACTTGCTTTATTGTGCCAACCTGACATGCAAGAGAGCCTCTGCGCCAGAGCTTTCCAAAGTACCCGCGGTGCCAGATCGATCCAGCCTTTCTCCTGATGTCAAGGGAAGCTGTGGATGACAGACTTCTACAAGAATAGATCACTAACTGGATGCTATACAAACTCGATTTTGAGATGTTAAGGGTCCCGGGGAGGCAGGAGGAAGCATTAATAACTCTCAGCCTGTTCTCACGACTTAATTGATAACTTTGCTGATACCTGTCAATTTTGTGTTCCTCCTATGTGTCAAGCATTTGGTGAAGTGAACTGTAATTGATTTCTCATTTCCTCTTCACAAAGACCCTGGGAGGTCAAGAGGAGAGAGGAGGGATAAATAGAGATGGAGAGATGAAGGGTAGACACATACAGTTATAATATTCAATGTGTATATGTGTACATGGAACTAGATAACTTGAGGAGATGGGTGGGGTTGGGAGAGATGGGGAAGAATGATGAAAGGGGTGACATTGATCACAGTGCATGGTTCTCATAAATTGATACGTTGAATCGAAACCTGTACCACAACTTAGAGATTAGGAAAAATCTCTAGGAGGAAAGTATTGACAGCCTACTGCCATATAGATGAACAACTGAGACCCCAAGCAATTTGCCTGAGTCCATGTCAATAGTCAATGGCCACTGTAGAATTGCAATCCAGAACTGTCACCAACCTTACAATTGTTACTTCTGTCTACATTGTCTTCCTCCAGGGAGCTCCAAGTCTAGCTGCATAAACTGTTCTTGGCAAAGCCATTGGTAAGATGAGACCTTTAAAGTTGTAGAATGTCCTGTGCTGCAAACCTTGGGCCTTGTGTCTCATTCATAGATCCTTGAAGCTGAGCTCTTTTGGGCAAGAGCCAGGCTCTGACTCTAGAGGGTTCCTAAAATGTGGCAGGTTTTGCAGATGTGCCAGGATGGCGATGGGGTGGTGGTGGTGTGTGAGGGTGTCCTTTGCTGCCTGTTTTCTGTACTTCTGGTCTCATGAAAGTGACTGGGAATCAGACCTAAAGTATAAAGGCCCCATTATTTCAAATAGTCATGGATAGACCAGACTTATAAATGGTAACAGTAGAATAGAAAATGTCAGCCCTCTTCTGGTGGGTGCTCAGCTAGAACTGAGTTTACACCCCCATCCTCAACATTTGTAGAGTTTGATGAAGCCCCATTCCAACTAATTAATAATCCTTTTGTCTTTTTCTCGTTACAGGAGGACACCGAGGCCCCTGTGACCATTCCCTAAAATACTTCAGCTCAAAAATCACAGAGCAAAAGCTGCAGGGCACGTGGCTGCCTGCTGGCCGGGGGAATCTGGAGAAACCATTCGTAGGCCCGCGTGGCTCCGTCCTGCCCATGTTCAGCCCTCAGAATGGCCTTCATTTGGGTCCCGTTGAGCACAGCCCGCTGAAGCCCCGGGTGGTGACCGTGGTGAAGCTGGGCGCGCAGCCTCTCCGGAAGGTCTCTCTGCTCCTCAATCGGCGGTCGGTGCAGACGTTTGAGCAGCTCTTAGCCGACATCTCAGAAGCCCTGGGTTTCCCAAGATGGAAGCATGATCGCGTGAGGAAACTGTTTAACCTGAAGGGCAGGGAAATCAGGAGTGTCTCAGATTTTTTCCGGGAAGGAGATGCTTTCATAGCCATGGGCAAAGAGCCACTGACGTTGAAGAGTATTCAGCTGGCCATCGAGGAACTGTATCCTAACAAAAACCGGGCCCTGACGTTGGCCCAGCACAGCCGACTGCCTTCCCCAAGGCTGAGAAGCAGACTTCATAGCAAGCTACTGAGAGGAGGCCATCACTGCGGGGAGCCTGAGAGTGGTGGGGAGGCGGCTGGGGGCAAGGTGACCACCAGGCTCCCAGGGAAGGCTTCTGGGGAGCCAGTGCCGGAGGACAAAGCCAGGGCCCAGAAGCGATGGGTGAGGGGGAAGCCGGACCTGGAAGCTGGAGGCAAGCCACCTAGGGAAACCCTTCTGGAGGAGAGGCATGCCAGTGGAGAGAAGCACGTAGGGGTGGAGATTGAAAAGACCTCTGGGGAGATCATCAGGTGTGAGAAGTGCCAGAGAGAGCGGGAGCTGCAGAAGGGCCTGCAGCGGGAGAGGCGCTCGCTGGGCACCAGCGAGCTGGACCTGGGAAAGGGCCATAAGTATGACTTGGATAAACTGGTTAGGACCAGAAGCTGCAGGAGGTCTCTGGAGACAAACTCCATCGACGGGGAGGACGGGCGGAAGGGTGACAGTCATGGAAGCAGTGCCAAGAATCCCACCCAAGAGCTTCGGGGAGCCAGCAAGCACACGGACAAGAAAGAGGACAGAGATCCAGAAGGACAGGAAAGCCAGGGAGCAGCCAAAGCCAAGAAGGACCTCGTGGAAGTTCCACCAGTCACAGAGGAAGGGGCAAGGGACCCGAAGAAAGACACAGGGCACTCTTGTAGGAACAAGCAAGACGTCTGGCTCCTAAGAGAGCAGCAGGCTAAGCCCCCCGAGCAGCTCTCCAGGACCCAAGGGGAAGAAAAGGAGGCAGAGAAGGAAAAGAAGCCAGGCATATCAGGAGGGAAAAAGATGGTTCTCAGAGACAACCCAGCTGCCAAGGTAGAGAAGGAGCCCAAGACAAGACCAGAAGACAACAAGCCAGAGCGGCCCAATGGCCGGAAGCTAAGGCCTATGGGTATCATTGCAGCCAATGTGGAGAAGTATTATGACACTGGCCGGGTCATCGGGGATGGGAACTTCGCCATTGTGAAAGAGTGCAGACACCGGGAGACCAGGCAGGCTCACGCCATGAAGATCATTGACAAGGCCAAGCTCAAGGGCAAGGAGGACATAGTGGACAGCGAGATCTTAATCATGCAGAGCCTCTCTCACCCCAACATAGTGAAATTGCACGAGGTGTATGAGACGCAAACGGAAATCTACCTGATCATGGAGTACGTGCAGGGAGGGGACCTTTTCGATGCCATCATAGAGAGTGTGAAGTTCCCAGAGCCCGAGGCCGCCCTCATGTTCAAGGACTTGTGCAAGGCCCTCGTCCACATGCACGACAAGAACATTGTCCACCGGGACCTGAAGCCAGAGAATCTCTTGGTAAGCCCTGATCTGTACTGCTTCCAGAGGGTATTTAAAAAAATGTGAGATAACATAAATACACTGTGAGCTTTACATGCTAGCGTATTACCTCTGTGTGTGTGTGTGCATGCGTGTGTGTGTGTGAGATATGTGTGCCAGTACTGGGGCTTGAACTCAGGAGGCCTGAGCTCTCTGTCCCTTAGCTTTTTTGCCCAAGGCTGGTGCTCTATCTCTTGAGCCACACCTTAACTTCCAGATTTTTGCTGGTTCATTAGGAGACAAGACGGACATGGAATTTCCTGCCTGGGCTAGTTTCAAACCATGACACTCACATCTCAGCCTCCCTTTGTAATAATGTCAGAATGAAGATAAAAGCTGAATTATAAGACACCCCAACACAGAACTGCTCCTGCTTTCTAATGTGATCAACCCATAGCAAACCCCTGCTTTCTTGAGTTTCCCCAGTAACTAAGATACCTCTATCTACCTTGTGCCCTGTTTTGTGGTGCTGGAGATGGAATCTTGTGCATGCTAGGCAAATGCTCTAGTCATGAGCTACATCCCAAGCTCCAGCCCAACTCTCACAGGGTTCTTTGGACACTGTCTTCCTTAGATGCCATTTTCCACAAAAGTGTGCGTTCTCTCTTGCCGCAAGGAGTCCATGAGCCTGAGCTGGTTGGATACGAGAGCACCACCTGGTGGTGTCTGTCCACAAGTCTTCCTTAAATGCCAAATCCTAAGTGGTGTTTTCTCACTTGTTGCAGTCCATGAACCTGATCTGCGTTGTTACGACAGCGCCACCTGTTGTTCTTTGTCAGCACCGCAGTCCTCAGGCTGCCAACATCTGGCTTCTTTGTCCCTGTTTCTTCTTCATCCGGCCACCATTTTAATATTGTCTTTCTACATTTCCTTTTCCGTCTTCTTTCACTTACTAGAAAGAGCTCCGTGACACCAACGACTGTTCTATTCGGACAATTCCCTGAAATGTAGAACATTTTACTTTTTAAAATAGACATTTCATGACCATGATTGGGTGAAGGAAGAGACCATAGCAGGTTACCTGGATGATAGCTACTACCATTGTTCTCACATTCAAATGATTCTGATAATGGAGTGGTTAGCACAAGTAAGCATTCAAAGCCAGACTGTTACAGGCGAAGCCATGATTTCCACAATCCATGTTTTAGGAGGAGGGAGTTCATTTGTTCCCTGCCATTTGCATGAGCACAGACCCAGCCTGTAAACTCCGCCCAATGCAGTCACCTGTGTAAAAAACTGCTCCCACAGGCAAAGGAAAACATGGAGCAAGTCAGACTGATTATCTAGCCAAATAAAGTCTGTGTGACCACAGAGTCAAGCAACCTTGTTTTTGTCTAATTTCATACAATTGCAGAGATCATTTGGTTGATTGCCTCTGTAGGTGTGTGTGTGTGGGGGGGGGTATCTAAATGATCCTCAAACAATTCTCTCTTTGTGAAATTTCATTTCTGCAATAGCTGATATCCTTGGGCTTTCTCCACTCAGAGTTTCCTAGTTTCCTATGCTTTTGGGTGTGAGCTCCCATGGATGCTACTCTGTGCACTGTTCATTATGGACACTTCGGAATTGCCACAGCATGGTGTTCTTTTAATGACTCTCTGGGGGTATTTTACTGAATTCTTGAAGCAGGAGAGCTTCTGATTAGGGGTGTGAATAGGTCCCCCGAGTTTACACCCTATAGAACTGTTTTCTTGTGTCACAGTGAGCTTAGAGTCTATCTTCCTGGAACCACTCTGTTGCTCAGCAAATTTCTTGGGCAAGAGAAGCTCTCAGTCAGGTAAAAGGATTCACTTGTTAGTGATTTTTTTAAAAATTGAGTTTTTAAATTTTTTTTTTAAAAAATTGAATGCTGAGAATTGGTGGAGATGTTTACCCAAGGGAGGAGAAGGAATATGACAAATGGGGAATCATTAGCTGATGGTCTCTGAACAGCTGGCTGGCATTCCTTCATGGATGCAAATGCTGATGTTCACTTGCTTTTAGTGTAAGTGAAATCTCTGTGTGTGTATGTGTTGCTTTGGGGCAGTGAAGTGTGTGTGTGTGTGTGTGTGTGTGTGTGTGTAAGAGAGAGAGAGGAGAGTGATAAAACTGAGTACTTACAGCTTTTTTCAGCTCAAATACAGGAGTTGTTATTTATTAGTATGGATCCTAATAATAATTACACATTTTCCTCTTTTTTGACTTTGAAAGGAGTCCCTTCTTTTTCCTTCCAAATAAATGTGTTTGGGGGCAGTTAACTTCCTCAGATCTGCAGAAAGCTACTGATATGAGCCATCTTGGTGAAACAGGTTAATGTATTTGCTGTTCTGTGGGTCATTTCTCAGCTTGCATCTATTGAGGTGGCCGGGTGTGTCACACTCATAAAACATACGGCCTTTCTCTGGGTGAGTAAAATTCATCATGTGGTTATGTCAGAAGTCTAATTGTTATTTAATGCCAGCCCTTTCTGGTTTTTCAGATAGAGATGAAAGATAGTGGTTCTGACAACTGGCTAATTGGGCTTTGGAAGATGTCTGCTAAAACTTGCTGACATCATGATTTTATTGCAATTTTTTTGTATTATAAGATACAATATTAATAAAGGAAGTCCTGGTGACTACTCATCAATAAATGTTCTTCAGTTGTTTTAAGCACTGGCAAAGGAATGAATCCTTCCTTTCTTGGCTGGCTGCTAGGGCATTTGTTTATTTTTGGTGCTGACATGAGGGCTTGAACTCAGAGCCTAAATGCTAGGCTTTATAGGTCTAGCTTTATAGCTCAAAACTGCTATTCTACCACTTGAGCCACAACTCCACTTCTGGCTTTTTGGTGGTTAATTGGAGGTAAGAGTCTCATGGACTTTCTTGCCTGGGCTGGTTTTGAACCATGATCCTCAAATCTCAGCTTCTTGAGTAGTTAGGATTATAGGTGTGAGCTGCCAGGGGCTGGCAGCTGCTAGGTTATTATGACCTTTCTTTGCCAGGCACAAGGAAGTGATTATGTTAGAATTAATTTGTGCTCACATGGCTAATTGTAACATGTTGCATTTTGAGACTTTCTGAACATGGCAAGAACATTTGATGAATATAGCTCGCTTATCATGTTGTTTTAATCAACAGAAATATTTATATCTGATAATTAGGCCCTAGAGATAAAATTTCAGGCCTGCTTTACCAGTTGCCAGGTTCATGTGTTTCTTCCGATCACAGCTTCTGGTAAGATGCTAGTGTTCATCTTCCCTCAGGGCTGTGTGGACTCCTGAGATCTTGCAAAAGGAGTTTTAATTATGAGATTTTTCCAGCTTGCAGACATACCCATGTTAATTACTTCTTCTGCCAGCATGTGGTTCCCTGGAGGGGCTGGAATGTGCTTGGTGGTATAGGCTGGGCCCTGGGGTTGGAGAGGAGGAAGCAATCAGAACAGCTCACGAGGATGGGGAAGGGGAGAGATAGGGGTGGGAGGAGAGGGAGAGACTGTAAGAAACCATAGAAATGGTGCAGTAGCTGAAAGGTAGGTGGAGGGAAAGTGAGGGCTATGCTTTTCTATGGGCTGGGAATTCTGGGAGAAGAGCAGGGTTAGAGAGTGAGTTTTCAGCATCTAAAGTTTGAGATTCTCATCCCATCAGATGACAAATGATGTCAAGTGTGCTGTGAAATCTGAAGTTATCAGACCTGACCCAGGAAACTTATGGCTCATTGTCCATTCTATAACCAGTAGGATGGCCACTGTGGAACCAGAGATGAGTTAAACAGAGACCGCAGCATAGTGACTTCTACACTCACAGCTGCCAGACTTCCTGCCATGTTCAGAATAAAAACCAGGATCATTTATATGACCCAAAAGCACCCATATGGCTAGACTTCAGTAATCCTGAGGAGGCAAAGATCTGAGGATCAAGGTTCAAAGCTAGCTGAAGCAAAAACTCTGTGCAACTCTTCTATTTATTTATTTATTTTTTGGCTGGTCTTGGAGCTAGAACTCAGGGCCTAGGCACTGTCTCTAAGCCTCTCTGTGCTCAAAACTGGCACTCTACCACCTGAGCCACAGTGCCACTTTCCGGCTCTTATTGGAGATAAGAGTTTCATGTACTTTCCTGCCAGGGATGGCTTTGAGTTGCAATCCTCAGATCTCAGCCTCCTGAGTAGCTCGGATTATAGGTGTGAGCCACTGGCACCCAGCTCTGTGTGACTCTTATCTCCAGTAACCAACAAAAAACTGAAAGTGGAGCTCTGGCCCAAATGGTAGAGCATCAGCCTTAAGCAACAAAAGCTCCAAAAGCTCTAAAGTAAATATATAAAAATAAAGCTCCTACATGTTGTGTTTTTGGTCTCCTTCTCAAAGCTTCTCTTGAACTGCTTATGTTCTTACTCTGTTCCTGTCCCAGATTACTGTTCCTACATTGTACCACACAGGCCTCTAAGCCTTTGCTCCTCACATTTTTTTTTTTTTGATTGTGGGGCTTGAACTCAGAGCCTGGGTACTGACCCTGAGCTCTTTTGCTCAAGGTTAGCACTCTATTACTTTGAGCCACAGCTCCACTTCCAGGTTTTGAATGGTTAATTACAGATAAGAATCTTATAGGAACTTTGCTGCCCAGACTGGCTTTGAACCAGCATCCCCAGATCTCGGCCTCCTGAGTAGCTAGGATTACAGGCATGCAGCTCATTAGATCTTAATCTAGTTCACTCTAATTCCTTTCAAATGTTTCTTTGTCAGCCCTTCCTTAACTACCTTGTGTAAAATAGCAAATTCTGCCACTGTCTGTGCCAGTATGTCCAGAAGGACTTCCTCTGAGGATATCCTGTATATATTTCATGCAATTGCCAAAACGCAGGTGGGTGTGCTCTTAAAATGTACCCTGGGGGTCAAAGGGACTGAACCTTTAATTTTACCAAAAAACATGTGGTCATGCTGGGTCCTCCACTTCTGGTATTTTTGATGGTAAATTGGAAATTAGAATCTCATAGACTTTTCTGCCTGGATTGACTTTGAATCACAGTGCTCAAATCTCAGCCTCCTGAGTAGCTAGGATTACAGGTGTGAAATACAGGCGCTCAGTTCCGTCACTTTTTTTTTTTTTTTTTTTGGTCCTGTTGTGGGGCCTGAACTCTGGGCCTGGGCACTGTCCTCAGCTCTTCAGCTCAAGGCTGAGCCACAGCGCCACTTCCAGCTTTTTTTCTTTTTGCTTATGTGGTGCTGAAGAATCGAACCCAGGGCCTCAGACATGCAAGGCAAGTGCTCTACCACTGAGCCACCTTCTCAGCCCCCTCCCCCCCACCCCAAGTCACTTTTTACATGTCTTTATTGTTGGGACAGCGCCCAGGCCCAGAGTTCAGGCCCCATGACTGGAACCCCCCCTCCCCCTCAAAAAAAAGAAAAAAAAAAGGATTCTCAGCCATTTGGTCTGTGTTCTGCTGCCATCTTCTGTTCATATGAGAACATTGCAGGCAAGCTCTTTTTTATTTTTAAGGTTGTCTTGCTTTGTGAAATCAGGCTGACTTAACACTTTCAATCCTCCTGCTTCAGCCACTCAAATGTTGGGGCTACAGGTGTGGGCTGCCAGACGCAGCTACAAGATCACGGCTGAATTTATGTACTATTGAAGCACAGCCTGGAGGCTGATTGAGATTTTGAGAGTGTCCAGGTCGCGTCTGGCTGCTTACAAATGTAACACAGATGTGCAGGGCAGGATGATTGGGTGTGGCCGACAAGGAGAGAGGTGCTGACAGAGAAGTCATTACAAGGCAATTGCACACAGCAACCTCAACACCCATTCAGTTAGAGGGCTTGAAAGTAACCCCAGGAGGAACAGGACCTGGAACTGCCAGTGACGGTAGTGTCAGGGACTCTGGACCACATCGCTACCAAGCCCAAGAAAGCATGAAAGCTTTCTGAGGTGGTGACATTCAAGTAGGACATTTGATGGGTCTTTGTCTGCCCTGGTGGCCACCCAACACTGCTCAGC